TTCGTCTTTTACTGCCGCTTTTGTTTTTGCTACTACACTTAGAGGGTAGGGTTGTGGAAAACAAAGTATCAAAATTCAAAATCAGATTAAATCGCCACATCCGGTTCCAGTAGTTTTTTAACATATTTATTTCATTTTCATTTAAATAATGGATACAAATATTTAGTTCGTTTCAATTTCCAGATTATATTGTGAAAACGGAAAGGACTCAAATCTAATCAAGTAATTTTTTATTAATTTATTTTTATTTTATAAAAATAAAAAATAATATTTTATTATTAAACTTTGCAAAATAAACCATAAAAATAATATTACAATAAAATTAGTACTTGTTTCCTTAATTCGTTGTAAGAAATACACCCTTATAGCACATTTGGTTCGTGAAATATACGGGAATGAAATATGAGATAAGAATATAATAGAATAGTTATTACTTAATTTGATATGATAAATGGAATAGGACAATAATAATTATTATAACTTATTGCAGTATTTGAGTGATAACAATAACTTTAGAATAAGAAAGGAATAAAAAATAAAAAAATAAAAATACCTTTTATTATATCTATGATTATTTATTTTCATTTTATTTTTTAAATATTAATTATTTATAAGTTATTTAAAATATTAATATTTAATAATTTAAATATTAATATTTAAAATATTGATATTTTAAAATACTAATGTTTTATTTATAATTTAATATTACTATGATTAAAATATTAATAATTTTAATTAATTTCTAAATTTAATATATTAATTTTTATAATATATAATTAAAAACTTAAAATTTTTATTATAATAATATTTATTTTTTAGAACAACAAAAATACCCTTTATATAATTTAGTAAATTTTATACCAAAAGACAAATATAAGCAAAATTTTTCTTTTTTAATTATTCAATTTAAATTGTCATCAAAATTTTAAAATTTTAAAAATTTATTATTAAAATATTAGTATAATTTTTAATTTTTTCTCTATTTTCATTCTCTATTTTCTATTTATACTTAGACTAAAAACTTAACATATTAATAATTTAATAATGTAAACATTAATACTTTAAAATATTAATATTTTATTTATAATTTGAACATTATTATGATTAAAATATTAAAATATTATTTTTTTTAATTTATATTTAAATTTCTAACTTTTTATTGTATTTATTCTTTCTTTCTTTTTTTCTTTTCTCCTTCTTCATTGACCGAGCACTAGAAACGTGGTCGGTGTAATGAAACACCGATTTGGAGTACCATGTGGTTAGATCTGGCAACTAAGGTGCCAGATCAGTGTTTCTCATGACCAGCTCTAGCCATGGAGTGCTAGATCCATTGCTTCTCGAGGCCACATCAGACTGTGGATCCCCAATTCAATGACTCCTCAATCGGATTTTGTCATAAAGCACTAAATTGATGCTTTCCGACCATATTCAGTGATGGAACCATTGTCCTCGCAACCATCGTCATTTCTGATGGTCAGTGCAAGTTAGAGAAAGAATGAGAGAGACAAGAATGTGAGAAGAGAGGAAAGGACAAGGGAAAATGAGAAGAAAAAGAAAGTATTTATATGTCTAGGATTGTAATATTTCATAGTTATAGAGGGTATTTTAATTTTATCAAATTTGCAATCTGTTCCCCCAACCATGAAATAGTAGGTACCGTGAAGGGGCTTGGGTTTAGTAAATCCCGAGTTTTAACTATTTTTGAGAAATAACTAATACTAAAGAATTGCTATTCCTTTGGACAACTGCTTGCCAAACGAGGAAACAAGAAAACCATGGGAATAGCTATTCCCTGTATCAAACATGCTATTAATTTGCCTCCTAAAACATTTTATTGTAGGCTTTCAAAATAATTATCCATTAATGCCCTATTTGGCTTAACTAAGCACAAAGTGTTCAGACAGGACATTTATGTGGCGTTGATCTTTGATTTTTCAACATGATCATCCCACTAATATCCTATCCTCACCAACCCACCTAATTATCAAATATAGTTAGTAAAATCAAGTTCCCCTTGTATTTAATTTATGCACATATAATGCAGGTCATTTTCCAACAACGAAACTGCAATTTTAATTTTGAAGAGTTATCAAATATCTAACAACAAAGGTCTTGTTTTTGCATTCATTAACAATCATCGATGAACCTACAATAAATTGAACCAAGCCTTCGAATGTTAACTTAAATTTTTTACCACTACTGTAAATCAACTCATTTGCTTTGTGTAAGGGTAGCAAAGTTAGATATTTTAAATTTTATGCACATAAAAATAAAAAATATTACAAACTGAGAAGTGACGACCGTCACCACCGCTACCCCTGCTTGTAGTTCTTATATAATGGACCTCAAGAACCATTTTAGGATTCTCCAACCAATGCTAAATGTTGTGCTTTCAATTAATACAATCTCACAGTAAAAGAAACAAAGGAAAGAGTGTTCTTTAAATAAATAGGAGTATTAAGTCCTCGATTAGTAGTTAGGTCAACCTATGTGTAAATGAGAAAATCTCATTCCTGACAAATAAAAATTTAACCGTTGGGAGGCGGCAAGAAACTGGAGATTTAAAGAACCGTCGAGAGAACATGCAAAAGGTTATATAGAATGGTGCATGGAGTACAAGGAGAAGGGAGGCTAATCATTACAAAAATAACGTTATCTCACTCTCTGTGAACAATATACGTGAGGGTACTGACATGGTTGAAAAATGTCTTTGGACTAATAGGGAATGTTGTTGACGTGTTCGTTGCGTAGCAAAGAGCAAAAATGGGAAAAGGTTTAGGTTTGTGAGATTTGATTCATTATCAAACAAAAAAAGACCAGAAAGTATGTTCGTTGGAATGTGGCTCTACTTGATCAAAGAATAAGGATCAATATTGCTAAGTTTGGTGGAAAGGAAAAATTTTGGAAAAGAAGAACGGAAGGGCTCAAGGCAAGAGATACCAGAGAAGGAGCTAAAAATCCAAATGAAGATTATAATGAAAAGATACATCACAATGCCAAATTATCCTACCCTAAAGGTGCTAAAAGGAAACCCAGAAGCCATGGTTATCACTGTAAGACATGAAGAAAACGGACAAAAATGGATCAAAAGTTTCATCGAAATGATCAAAAGTGAGAACTTGCATTGGTTGGAAAGAAGTATTTTGGCTGTAACCAAATATT